ACGAGTAATAATTCTTGAATCATCGGGAAACTATTTGTCCCAAAACTATTTTTGATGGTTCAAATCAGTGGTCCAAAACTAACAGTTAAGTCTCTCTCTCTCTCTCTCTCTCTCTCTCTCTCTCTGTATATAGTCTGTGTAGACACTATTGACTGGACTTGACTTGAAACTTCATGAAAACAACTAAGCATGAGCTGGCACATGCGTAACAGTCGTAGTTAGGTTTCTATCAAAAAGTTACTAACTCAACTCTAAAATCACATAATAGTTGAATAACGCGAAGTTAAATTTATCAATTAAAAGCAACAAATCACTTTTTAATTGTATTTAGTCAATGAAGTCAAATTATCCTATGTTGAATTGCCGTTATAAAGAATTAAAATAGTAAATAACACAAGATTTGATGACAGAGAAAATCCTCAACTGAGTAAAAACTCTAGGACCAAGTCAGTAGTTTTCACTATAAACAATAAGAATTTACAGTATGATCTAGCATAGAAAACCCACAAGACTCGTTGATCTAATTCCTGCAATCTCCAAGACCCGCTGGAGCGTGCTTAAATCACACGTGCTCCCGATCTTCTGGAATCGTCTATCTCCTGTGGAACACTAATGACACCTCGTTTTTGTACTCTTCATGTGCTTTTGGTCCAACTTCTACTCAAACTTCAACAATCTTTGAAAGTTACTGAAAAAGTACATTCACAATGATATTTAGGAAGTGTGCTTTGGATTATATGAATTGGATATTTTTTCCAAATTTGTGGTTGATTGATCTTAAGAATCAAAAGGTAACCCTCAATATTTGAATGCGTTCTTGAATCTTGGAATATATAGTAATATAAGGATTAAAACAATGATCAAACATCCTTTTGGACGTTCATAGGGTATGATATATATATATATGGAAAAGTGCTTGGGATGAAAAGGGATTGAATAACCAAGTGTTTGAAGCAAAATACATTTCTGAATGTTGACCGTCACTCGAGCGCCAAGCTAGCGATAGTTGATCAGCAACTGAGCAGTCGTCAGTATTTTTATCATAACTCTCTCTCGTGATATAACTCAAAGGGCTATAATTCTTCTAGAAATAGCCTTGTCCAAATTCCAATTGTTTCTATGTGAAAAATGCACTTCAAGTTGCGACTGAAAATTTGGAACATAACTTGCGTGACCCTTTGACACTCTTTAAACTTTTAATTGTATTCTCTTGATCATATGTGATCTTCTTGAACATCTTGGACTCAAGAACTATACTACCCTTCAAAGACTACTTGACTTTTACAATTCTTCTATAACAATCCTATTCTTTTACAATAATTATTTTGTCTAAAAAATTGTTAATACAACTAAAAACCTAACACTATCAAACAAAATTTTGGATCAAATTTGATGTTTCCGTAATTCTACTTGCAAGAAGGTACCAAGAAAATCTTCTATGTTCTATATTAAAAGAAACATAAATGNTTCTATATTAAAAGAAACATAAATGGCCCATAAAGAGTGATTTCCCTTTCTCTTTTTCAACAGCTTTCCTTTGGAACCCACAATTCCAAGAATCAATGATGTAAATATTACACAACTCTTTCTGTGACAGCTTTAAGATTAGATTCGTAGTCCTTTACAAGATTTGATTTAACCTTTGTATAAGATCCAAGAAAGGTAACTAGACAGTGTATTTATCAATTTTGATCAATCGTTATCTTAATTTTGTTCTAGTTTTGTAGCTAGTGATGTGGTGGCTGTAATTATCACTTTTATTAGTTGCTTAGCCCCTGATTGGTTTTGCTAAAAAATTAATTTTTAGTAGAGTCGAAAAAGTCAACGAATGTATGGTTGAAAAGTTAATAAAAAATGTGACTTAATGAAATGTGTGATTGAAAATGAGCTTTGGAAAATTAGGGCCAAATAGAGGTTTAGTTTTGTTTGGTTTTGTTATTTTCAAGTCTGATTGAACCCATGTTTCTTGGACTCTTGTACTACTTTATTTTCATGTTTTAATACAATATTGAGACTGATAGATGTGCACCTGTTGAGTTTGATTCTCACCTACTTAAAATTTAAAATTTTATCAAATATTGATAAGATATCTACGAGATAAACGTAGTAGAAATAATGATGTTAAGACTAATTAATAAAGTAAAAAATGAGAATCAACAGAACAATGAATGAATTAATAGTTAGAAAAACATGTTTTACGTAAACCTAAAGAGATTCCCATTCATAAGAACGTTGTGACCACGATAAAACATGTCAAGAAAGGGAGACATGGACCAAAATAACACGGCCTATGATAGCTGCAAAATATGTAGTTACTATAGAGTTTTGTGCCGAGACTAATTTTTTGGAGACATCATTCATCTTGAATATTGAATTCATACAGAATTTTGTGTAAATATATACATGGAATCTATTTCGAATACGTATATGCTAAGGAACTGGATCACGAAGAACTGATATTGATATTGACATAACTTGTGTGTACCGTATATATTGAATTTCGTGTATCAAATATGAAAGAATCTGATAGACAAATAGCAGTGGAAAAAGGATATGATCAAGTGGTGGTGGACGGCAGTATGATTAGATACTGTAAATCTTTATAAGGGCCATGAGGGGTAGCCCACAAGATCCAAGAAACAGTTCATCACTCCCATCATCAAATCTAATGCACAGGATCTGCTCATGGAAAGAAATCAGGACCATACAAGAATTTTAAGAAAGGAAAGATGAAGTACAGTTAATCAGAGACAGCAAACTTTACATATATTCTGCTTTCAGAAAGTAATTACTTGTTCAAAATAGTGGCGAGATGCTGTGGGATTTTTTTGTTGAAAATGGAA